CCTGTCTGCTCCTTAGAGCAAGACTACTCTGCTTTGCAACATTGCCTCAGGAATCAAGAATGGTCAGTTCAATTCCCGGATCCAGCAACTTGAAAATCATGCTGGGCACATGTGCTTGCATGCCCAAAATCCTGAGAGGAGAATGGGAGAGAAGGGATTGTGGCATGACCATCTCTCCTGGGGGGTGATTTTATACTCCATCCCTTGCTACCCACCATCTCTGTCTCTCTAGCAAGTACATATACTCCATAGCAAAAAAATTGAAAATAAAAAGAAAAAAAAAAGATTGGCCAAACTTCAGAGAACATAGGATTATTTCCCTCAAGGGTTTGAGGTTTCAGACACTCCAGAAGTCCCCATAATCATGTCGAAAATTATATATCTATAGATACATGTTTTTTCTAGAGATAGCCACAATTGCCTTCAGCTCCTCAGAGTCCATGTCTCTAAAGAAGTCTAACATTTTCCCCCCTTTTTTAAGATTTGTGTATGTTTGTGTGCGCATGTGTGTCTGTGTGTGTAGGTTTTTGCCTTAGGGCAAAAGAGACAGAGACAGTGAGAAGGAAAGGGTAAAATCACCCCACAGAGGGAATTCCCACATTGCAATCCCTTCTTCTCCATTCTCCTCCTGGGATCCTGGGCACACATGCACAAGTGGGTCTGGGACTTAAACCACGGGTGGCCCTGTGGGAGTCCAATGATGCAATTGCCATACCATCTGCTGTTTCCCCACCTCCCCTTTTTTTAGACTTTTGCCTTAAGACACATGTGCACACTGGATAAATACAGAGAGAGGGAACGTGAGAAATCACCAAAAAATAAAGAAGTCTAACAACATTTAGTTTGTATTTCTCATTTTATTGCTGAATACATGGAAGGTCAAGGAGCTAATTGACTAAATGAAGGTCTAGCAACTTCTGGGTGCATGTGCCTGACCTGGGCTGGAAGTTGAGGACACAAAAGTGGCACCATGGTTTCATCTTTGCAAGGTTTATGGCTGAGAACAGAGAAGTGATGAGTGGGTGCTGTGCGAATTCTCCAGTGGACAGTCTTTAAGAACACCCTCCAAGGTCTTTTTCTTATATGGCTTCTGCTCATCTTTTGAGGTCACTGGGTAGACCTTCTATCCCAGCATGAACATACACTTCTTTGTCAGACTTCTCGAAAGTAAACTGTGAGTTGTTTGTGCTTCACTCATCTCTGAATTGTCAGTTCCTAGCACAGGGCCTTGGTAAAAGCCCTCTGAAGGCTGGGAACTCTTTATCTTTGTCTTGAAGCACAAAGATGACATGGTGAGGAAAGCTATGTGTCAGAAGTGGGGGAAGGAGATGCCAGAGAGTGAGTCCATAGAGCCAGTGCTGTCATCAGGCCTCCCACCTTCCAATCCAGAACCAGACAGTTATGGTGGCCCTTCAGCAAGTAAAAGCTAATGGCTTATGTTTGATTCAAGTGTCCACCACAAAGACACTTGCTGAAGTACGACATATCACTTATTCACCGGCTCTTTTTCATTCAGTGTTTTCTAGGCATCTATTTTGTATAATCTGGTTTTGACAACCCAGAGAGACTGCATAGGTTTTGAGTCAGAGACTGTCATGAAAGAGTTGTTTAAAAGACCAGCTCTGGGCCCAGCCTTGGTGGCATATGCTGCTAAGATGCTTTGCTCTGTAGTATAGGCTGGGATCTCACGGAAGGCCCAGGTTTGATCCCCAGTCAAACCTAAGGTCAGGGCTGGTGGTGTGCAAGACTAAGGAGGCTGGGACAGGAGGATTGTGAGTTCCAGGCTGGCCTAGGGAACATAGTAAGACCCCTTATAAGACAAACAAACAAACAAGCAAACAAAAGATTCCAGGCTGGCCTAGGGAACATAGTAAGACCCATTATAAGACAAACAAACAAACAAACAAACAAAAGACATTCTTGCACAGTCTTGTGATCCCAGCTAGGAAAGGGATGCAGGTAGATGGCAATGCAGCAGTAGTTTGGGGAAGGAAAAAGAAAGATGAGGCCTGCAGATTTGAATCACCTGGATTCAGGTGTTGACTCTGTCCCATTGCCACTGGGGCAACTTCCTTAGCTACCTGTACTTCATTTGCAAAATATTGCCAATATCAGAGGAGTGTAACCCGCCTTAAGTAAGTTTATTCATTAGAATGCTTAACTAAGTACCCAGCTCCCACTGAGTGGTCAAGAAATACTAGCTATTATTATTGCATTACACTAATTCTTCTCAGTTCTAGGAGGAACAGCTTAAATGTAGTAGGTCTTTAATAGTTACTAGAAAAAGTCAAATAATAATTTTAAAAAGACTTTCCAAGAAATCACATATCTTGGTATATAAAATTTTAAAAAATTTAAAGAAAACTGCAAAATTGCATTACAATTGTATGTGCAGTGCAACAATGTTTAAATGAATAGAACTTTGGTTTGGCAAGAGTTTTCTGTATAGAAGGCACAGTGGTAGGTGCTGGGTATACAATAAATCAGGTGTTCATCTAGAGTTTGCAGTCTGGTGGGGGAGACAGACAGTAAACAGATCATTATACAAAAGGGAGGTACATATTGAAGCAGAGATAAGCACAGAAAGAAACCTAACATAGAGGCAGAAGTGGAGACATTGAGTAGACACAGCCATACAGTAAACCATCCACAAAAATGTGCTGTCTGTGTAGAACTTAATAGTCATAGAGCAGCCTTGCAGAAGGTTCTTAACAATATCTTTAACAGTCCTTCCCCAAATTTCTGCCAATCTTTATCCTGTGTTCTGAAGAGAAAAATAAATGTGGGACCCCATCTTTTCTTAGTAAATGTTTGATTTTCGGACATAGAGCTGCAAGGTCACACTGGAAGTCCAAATAAGAAACAATGAATAGTTTTAGTGGCACCTGTACTATGATTTAGTCCTTTAATTGATAGTACCTAATTTATTTCTTTCAATTTTGTTTCCTATAATGCATGGATTTATAAGCCAAAGCCAATTCACTTAACTCAGTGAATCATGAGACATGGTAATAATCATAACAGCTGTCCGTTGTTGAGTGCATGCTTGTACCAGGATCAATTCTAAGAATTTGATTGGGATTAATGTATAAACATTGGTTCTGTTTTTATTCCCATCTGTAAAATGAGTGTAATTGAAAATTCACTTTAGGTCACAGGGGCACCGTCCATGCCCTCAAATCCTAGTTTATAGCCTCCACCCTTTTTCCCCTTTTTAAGATCAGACAAAAAGTGAAGCAATTCAAGCTCTCAGTTACCTAAGGTTCTGCATAATGGATTTTTTTGTTGAGTCTGGATTTCTCTTAGAGTTCAAAAGCTGAGGATGGGGTAGCCCAGGTTGGTGTTTGAATTGTTGTCTCTGATCATTTAGATCAGGTAGCTGATGACTTTGTGAAATTAATACTCATTTTCTGTTTGGGATATAGGAGAGTCAATTACAAATGCTGAGAAGGAAGAGAAGTTACTCAAAAAAGACTGTCTTTTCAACCTCAATTTAGATTTACCCTTCCATTTTCCTATGCAGAAAAGGGAAATACCAGGTGATACACTAAATAATGAAGAATTCTGCCCTTGGCATCATTTCCTCACTCATTTCATTTTCTCACTTATAATGTGGGGACAATGAAGTCTCTCTCACAGGGCAGTTGTGAGGACTAACTGAGAGGCTCTATGGCCAGTGCTTAGAGTAGTGCCTGGTGACTGACATAGAGAGTATACCTACTGTGCTACCATTTTCATCACTTTCTCTCCTTTTTTTTTATGCCAGGGGGCATGTTTGTACATGAGAGAGAGACAGATCCAGAGAGCAGAGACAGACAGACAGTGTAAACCCTGTGAGAGAGAGACAGATCCAGAGAGCAGAGACAAACAGACAGTGTATCCCCCACTGGGGCTTGGTCATGCCCTAATCTTTTCTCCAGTTGTCCATCCCAGAGGATCCTGCATGTGCTTGTATATCCAGCCTGTCTTTCAAACCAATGGGATCAGGACTTGAACTCTGGTCAGTAATGTGGGATCTGGACTCTTCTGCACAGTACCTAACCACTGAAATACGAGGCTGGCCCCATTTGTCTCTCTTAATGGTTATACTACCACTGCCACCACCATCACCACTATCATTATCATCATTTAATCATGAATATTGTTACTCCTAGATGGCTGCTACCTGGCTTCCATAATGTGCAGCTTGTTCTAGAAAGGCAGAAAGAAACGTAAGACTCCATTGTGGAGGTGGGAGGCTTGGGTTTGATTTCAGGCACTGCCACTGGTGGTGGTATCTGTACCAACTTTCTGAGATTTCTTAACCCTTTTTTTCATGGAACTTGAATCACACAATGTTAGTGAAATATCCTGGAGGAAGCACTGGGCCTCTCTCCACAGGAGAAGCTGCCCAGCTCACCCCTTGTTTACAGATATCCAAGAAGAATGTGAAGTCAGAACAGACCTGGAAACCCAGTGCCTCAGCACTGATATGTGTTTCTCAGATAGGCGTTGGTGGATCAGTCACCTGTCCTGTTTTCTGAATTTGCCCAAGGACTAACTGGGGAAATGATGCAAGAGTTTAGAATATGCATCCCCATAGCATTCAGTAGTCATTACTATTCATGGTGATAATGGTGAGCTCAGTGCCCCACATTACTGTTGTCGTATACTCTTTTTTTTTTTTTTCTTCTGGATAGGCTTTTGCTATAGGGTGCGCTCACTCACCAGAAAGACAGAGAGACAGAAAGCGAGAAATCACCCCCCAGGAAGGATGGCCACACCACAATCCCTTCTCCTCCATTCTCCTCTAGGGATCTTGGGCATGCATGCACAAGCGCCTGGCATAAGTTTAAGCCACCCGGTCTGGGACTAGAACTGCAGTCGACTACATGGGAGTTCAGAGACATAGCCATTACACTAGCTTCTGGTCCCTGTCTTACACGCTTTATCCCATTCATTCAGTATTTGCCTCCCTGATTGCACTGACCTCCTTTCTTCCTATTTCTCTTTGGTTTCAGCACCTTCCGAGATCACTTTTGCAATTGATGTTGGGAACGGTCCTGTAGAGCTGGTAGTCCAGTCTCCTTCTCCTCTGAATGACAACCAGTGGCATTATGTCTGGGCAGAGAGGAACCTCAAGGAGACCTCGCTCCAGGTGGACAGCCTTCCCAGGAGCACCAGGGAGACCTCAGAGGAGGGACATTTCCGATTGCAGCTGAACAGCCAGTTGTTTGTAGGTAAGGGATATCTTACGTCACTTTTTGTACTAAAAACTCTACAAGACTACTGTTTGTCCAAGATCAAGAAAAACTGCCTGGGAAATGTTTACAATATGTCACAAAGCATTTTTTTCATCATCCAATAGTTTTTAAATTTTTTCAGATTATTGTTATTATTCCAATTATTTTTTAAACATTCAATCACTGTTTATCATTTTACTCATAAAAAGACTACCCAACATGAAATACTTCTCAGATCAGTCCAGTTAGGAATACTATACCCGTTGTCATCAACAGGTAATAAACCATTTCTGTGTCCCACTAACGTCGTGCCTCTCTATTTGTTCTCTTGCTATCCTTTTCCTTACTCTTCTCTTCTCCTGCCCCGTTCCACACTATCTTATTATCGCTAACTATTTTCACTGCTTTTTTTTTGCTTCTTTGTTTGTTTGTTTGTTTTTTTAATTTATTCATTTTCTATATTAATTCACTATACACCATCACAACACACAAATGAATTTTCCATCCAAAATACACTGTGCATTGGCTCAATCAAGCACATCAACATACATGTTCTCAGCAAATAATTTTCCAATTCTTATGTCCTGCATACCTTGCCTTTTGTTTTGCCATCCTTGATTCCCCATCCCCCACCCTCTGCTATGTGCCACCCACGGTTCCCCCCCATCCCCCCCCCCCCCCCCATTCAATTGTTCTGCCAATGAACTTAATTAGTCTAAATATATCCAATTGCTAGCACAGCTGACACATACCTATACATGAACCCAAGTCTGACTTTAGGCATAAACCCCAGTGAGTAGAATGAACATACTATAAAGTAGTACCCAGTTGTGCCCACACAGCTTACTGCAGTTGTCAAATATGCATTATTTTTTCCAAAATGATACGAACAGTTTCACCATTTTTTTTTTCTCCTGCAACTTTTTTTTTTTTTTTTTTTTAATTTTCCCTAACATTC